TAATAATAATAATAATAGTAATAATAATAATAATAGTAATAATAATAGTAATAATAATAGTACTAGTGGTAATATTAATAATAATAGTTAAAATAATAAAAGATTAGCTATAATAAAATTTTTTAGAACAGCCTCAGCTATACTTTATAAATATAATAAAAATAAAAAACATCTTATAGTTTTATATTAGTTAGTTAAAAATTTTCAAACTATAGTATCTGCTTTAATTATTTATTAGCTTTACTAATTAGTAGTTAAAATAATAATTTATTAAACTATAGATAAATGATTTAGTACTATAATTAGCTGTTTTAAACTATACCGCCTCCTACACCGCCCTATCTTCTTGGCCTGTAACTAGTCCTGAGCGTAGCAAGGGTCATCAAGGCTTATAAAAATATATAAAAACTTTATTATTTATGTAGCTGTAAACTTATTTATAAAAGTATTAAAGCCAAGGCTGTTAACTTTTTATTTAAATAATTAAACTAATAGAAAGCCTATAAAGTTTTTGATTAGTTTAAACTTAATTTTTTATTTAAAATATTTAAAAAATAAATATAAATATATAAAATATTCAGTAAGAGACTTGAATATAATACTTATATTATTTATATAAATATAATAAAATATATAAAACTTTTTTTAATATTAGATTTATTTAATATTAAATATATAAAACTAAATAAATATAGCCTATAATTATAATATAAAATTATTATTAGCTGCAGTATATAATAGCTGTTATTTAATTATAATAACTATATTAAATATACTATTAGTAGAAGAATTTATATAAATTTATAAGAATAATGTATATAAATTCTACTAGCAGTTATATTATTTCTTATTATAAAAATACTAAATAAACATTTAGTTTAGACATTTAGTTTATTTTTTATTTTTTATAAATTAACTACTATTTAGTTTTTAACAGTTAGAGGTTTATTAAAATTATTAAAATTAAAGATATAATATTATATAATAAATATTAAATATACTATTAGTATATAGCTGCTCTATACTATGTATATATATAGCCGCTTTGGTGCCTTAGGTACTCAAGCTGACTTATCTGACAGGCTACGGCACCCGTCAGCTTGCCAAGACCGCAGTAGCCGACTTGCTTATATGGCCGACTCGCTTACCAATTACATTACTGTATTAATAAAGTAATAGGAAAATTATACTATAGCTTTAGATGGTAAGTGGCTTTTGTACTGGGTAATATTAAAACCTAGTATAGCTAACCTCGGATCTGCAACCACCTACTTATCTAGGTGAACCTAGCTACCTTCAGTGGGCGGTCAAGCACGCAGGCAAGCAATTCAGGGGAAGGTGCAGATTACCAGTACTTTACTAAGACTGTACCTTTACAGAGACAGTACTGTATGTCTTAACAAGTTACCACTTAACATCCAACTGCTATAGGCAAATTACATGTAGTTAAGCAGTGGGATTATGCCTAGTCTTACATTCCAAGATTTTACACCTAAACATCAACAACTTAGCTCCAGGGAAAAATGAATAAGATCTAACAACCTATAATACAAAAGGAATAATAAGTATTGCCTAAAAGAAAACCTCTGGTAATTATATCTTCAGCCTTTGGAAAGCTTTGATAGCCCCCATAATTCTACTATAAGAAATGGTTTACAAGTACAATGTATAATTGATAACTATATCTAAAATTGCCGAAATAAGTGTAGTACTTACTTCTAGTTACTACAAGCAGTAGTAGGTGGACTTCTGGGCCCCTGTGCAGTCTAGTATCTTGGTAGGGTACAGCAGCCTATATGAAAAACAACTAAATCATAAACTGTAGAAGAAAAAGACATAAGAACCATGTTACAGGTAGAAAGACTTCGGAGGATCCATGTGTTAGATCTCTTTTCGGTTGGCTAAGGAGAGAGCTGATACAGGATGGTAGGCAGATTGCAATGGTCTGAGAAGCAGAGCGAGTCTAAGCAATTGTTGGTGAGATAAGAGAGGAGCGCAGGCTATTGCAGAAGCAAAGGGAAGGGCACCTGCAGGTGTCCTATACTATGTAAGTTAAGCGAAGAAGATTATAAAGCAGTGTGCATACTATCTCAAGCCTCGACCAAACCAACTATAAGATTTGTAGAACAGAGCTGGCTTGAGGTATAAGTACAAGATATCCCTTTGGAAAGAATTCGTGATGTGTAGTGAGCGTCTGCATATACGATGTTCTAAGTTCACATAAGAAAGAGATTGACGGTATCCAGAGAAAAGTCTACACTAAATCCAGACTTCTGGGAAACTACCAGGCAATGAGTATAACCAATCTATCTCTACTCACAGGATGACCCAGGCTGAAATCATACACAATATACTCAGGGCTCTTTGGAAAGGGCAGAATTGATTTTCTTTACACATTACGCCATTGCACGTAGGGCTAGTGGCCCGCAATGAGGGATGACATCATAAGCAAAAGGTGCCACCTTGTAGGTGCTCAGATATGAAGTAATCCATCAAAGGAGAGACCTCGTAATGACAACATACCATGTGTGACTAGCTTTGATGAGGAATCCAGATAGCCATCAAGCCCGCAAGTCCTTGACCCTGATTGGCTTTGGTAATGCTCGTCCAAAGAAAGTGTCAAATTCGGATGGTGATTGACGGGCCTCCCCGTTGACGAAGAACTGATAGTCATAGTAATTTACAAGTTGGGGTCGGGAATCCTTGCAGAGAATTCCCGGAGAGCCGGCTTGTTCTACGTCATTAAGATCATAACAAGGCACTCCAAGTCTATATAAACGGATGATGGCCTCTCTCAAGAATTTTGTTCTTAAGCTACATATCACCCGAATCACAGTACCTGAAATCTTGTCTGCTATTCACATTTTACTTGTCATTCTATCTATTGCATCTACATACTTACAGCAACCCACCATGTCCAACATTATGAACCCCATTGATGACCCATCGTACAACGTTGACGCGACTGAGGAAGCCTTCGGAACCAACAGCATGGAGACAAACCACAGTGCCGGGTCCTTGGGACACGCCAATGCCAGCCGCAATCCCTACAACAGTAGCTCTCAGCCCATGGCTTTCGACAGGTCACAGGCGGGTAGTATGGACGGCATTCACCCCATGGCGGGTACGCACAATTCATACAACGCCTTCGGCGCCTCGACTGCTCGGCCATTGAGCCAAGAAATGTCTAATACAAAAACTGCATCGCCCAATGCAATCTTTGGGCCAAAGACCGGTCAAGGTTTTCAGGAAAACATCCCACATCATTCGGCACCACAAGGCACTATCAGCCCATCGACGAATCTCGCTAGTGGAGCCACTCAATCCACCCCTACGAATAGAATGCCATCCCCGACAAGCCCTTTGGGATCCCTGGCAGAGGATGCCAATACTGCACGTGCGAAGTCCAATCGTGGCAGTGTCCAGGCGGCGCAATACAGTACTGGCCCGTCCGCAGAGATCAACGATGGAGGTCGTCGTACCTCGGACCAACTATCACCTTCGAAAGAGCATCATCTAGAACACATGTCGAGGAACACTGATAGCCCACGAGCGGAGCTCAATGGTAGCAGTACCCAGACGGGACAGCTGGGATACCACACGCCCGTACCAGATGATGGTACCGCCGGCCTCAAGTCAGGAAACAGTGCCTCACGCGAATCCCATAGTGGCACCGAGTCGCAGAAGGACGATGCAACTGGCGATGCAGCAAACGCATCAGCAGGGAACAAGAAAGACCGCATGGAAGGGACGCTAGACAGTGACATAAACGGAGAGAAAGTGAACGGCATAGCTGGTGTGATTCCCATCTCTGGCAATGCTGGCCCGACTACCACGAAGACATTCGACCCACTTGCCACAGTGGATGGCGGTAGCCGCCACAACATCGACACTCGGTCCTCAACTGCTGCAGAGCCAGGGATTGGTAAAATTGAACCCAGTCAAGACAATCGCGCTCACTCCTCTGACATTGCTGGTAGCAGCTACAACACTCGGGGCAGTGGTTCCGTGCAGAGTAAGACAGAACCCCTCGACAGCCAAAACCCGGGAAAGACTAGCGCCGGTATGACGTCGGGCTTGGAGGGTTCTGCGTCTTTGGGGTCTCAGCGAGCTGCGTAGATGGAATAGTCATCAGCGTGACGAGTAAAGAATTTTGAGTTTCCAATACATATCACGAATAAACATATTTACAAATGATTAATGCTTACACACTCCCGGACGTGAGAAACTTGAGAATGTTGGAGGTGTTGTATAGTTAGGGTGCTGTGGGCTCTTGTTATGTGGATACGTACTCCGTAGTATGTAGTTTGAAGTTTCCGTATCTGTACTTCGTACTGTGCAATCAAACCCCCGCAATGACTCTGTGAGACGGGTACTACCCCGCATGATAACTACTTACTGAGTACTTACAAGCATTTACGTAGCTACCTAGAACTTAAGTAGTAACCTAGGTGGATACGGTGACTGTTAAGCGCCATCATCAATAACAAGCATCTACAATCTGGAGTTGATCTGTGCTTATCAACACTATGCTTCAGTAACTACATAGCACCGTACATTTATAGGTTTGTGAGAGGTTGGCTGTTAATGATATTCTATCTTGAATTAAGTTGGGGCGTTGGGACTACTAGCCGGTCTTCTGTTGCTCTTAGTCCACCTCTCAAAACCGAGTGAGAGGCCACATTCTCATCGTATTGGCAGGGTATACGTAAGCAAATACGAAGCTAAATGTACCAAATGTTGCATGCATCGCAGCCCGTCAAACCGAGCACCGACAGGCTCATTACATATGCATCTTATTGACCGACAGCTAATGAAATGAACTTGTTGGTCCAAGGTTCCGGTTGCCGTGGGCTGTTTCTTCGCAACTTGCGGGGAAATGGGGGAAGAGGGGCATCTTACCATGTGGTCGGACCATTTAGTCTTGTCATAACATGGGCCAACATCGCCCCCTTCTCTGTAATATATCTACGCGGTAAGTTACTAAGGAGAATCTCCGGACACTTGATCGTCTCCGAATCATATGCGTCCGGATTAAAGCTAGTATGGACTAGTAAGCGAATATTTAACGTGGGCTCATTCCACTTGATTTGGGGGGTATTATTCGGTCTCTGCAGCCGGAGCAGTCGATAATTTTCGCAAGTGATCAGTTAACTACCTCGACTCGTCTGTCTTCCCTGACAGTATCATGGGAAGTTCATGAATATGGGTTAGGACACGCCTCGTCCTTTCGAGAAACTCCCAGCCGACGATTTCTCTAGTGCAACCGTGGCCGCCATTTCTCTCGATATTACGCAGACTCGAGTTTGTTCTGCTTCTCCAGCGCAAGCATCCATCGGTATCTTACGGTCTCCTAGAGCAACTGGTTCAACCTCGAGATAAATCACCGGGCATCCAGTCATGTCTGCTCATGAGATGGAGGAGGCGGTCGATGCCCCCTTAACCCGCAAACGCTATCATGCTGAAGCAATTGATTATCCTCGACGACGCGCGACTGTCGCAGTATGTTTCGTCCTTTTGTTTGTTTGTTTGTTTCTTCTCTTTCCTTTTCCTTTGATATATGATGCTATTGCCTCGTCAAGATTGCCCGAGGTTGGTCTTACCATGAATGAGTGCTTCTCTTGGCGAACATAGTACCCCGTTATGTGCATAGTTGACGGCGGTGATAGTGTCAGATCTGTCGTCTACGCAAAACAAGATGCAATGGCGCACGCCCGAGATGCCAGCTCTGTATCGATCTTGATGCGGAGTGTATCTATCGAGAGCCGGGCATCAAGCTAGATGCTGGGGACAAGCTAATCATTGACAAGCTAGACAGAATTGAGGGCTTGTTACGTTCGAGGATGGCTGTTGCGGCCAGTAATTCACCCATCTCTTCAACAACAACTGAGACAGTCAATGATCCCGCAGGTAACGACGATTCCGCCATTAACATGACAGAGAACACCACAGTGTCATTCAAAACATCGGTTGTCGGGCTTGGATCCTGGGCTAACCCACCAACGAACATCTCAACAATGCCTAAGCTTCACACGACGCCAGCCTTGAATCTGTTACAGTGGCCTTTCATCCGAGATCTCGTGGCTGCACCTTACGATCCTCACACCCTACTACAGCTAGAAATGGCTCGTGAGCCACTTCGGATCCCAAACTTTATTGGCCTCGATCTATCTAACGCTGTCGCGCATGCTCGGGCTTTTTTTGCGCGGGTTAATGTCTGGTACGCCTGTGTTAACCCATATACCTGGCCTCGCTACTATGACATAGCTATCTCATCTAGTTTTCAGGAGGGGGCTGAGAGCTGTATCGTTCTTTTGGTCCTTGCACTAGGGTGTGCAAGCCAATATGGAAGCATATCAAGTCTTTCACCCGAGGCAGACCCGCCAGGGCTGCCATATTTCGTCGCTGCATGGGGCCTTTTGCCCAACGTTACAATGCGCAATTCTGTTCTCGCTGCCCAATGCAATATTCTCGCTTCTGCCTATTTATTCTACTTGGTAAGACCGCTGGAGGCCTGGACACTACTTTCGAGTGCTAGCCTGAAGCTACAGCTGCTATTTGGCAATCCGTCCCGTGTTTCTGCTCAATGGAGGGAATTAAGCACCAGACTATACTGGAATGCTCTTCTATACGAAAGCGATCTACTGGCAGAACTAGACCTTCCACACTCAGGGATTGTGCACTATGAAGAGCTTGTTGATCTTCCAGGTGGCTTTGAACCAGAGGATGACGAAGATGAGGATCAGAGCAGCACACCCCGGGAAAGTCTCGTTGTAGATGCGGTGGTAGGGCACGACGAGCTCTGGTATTTCTTGGCTGAAATTGCTCTGAGAAGGCTTCTTAACCGTGTCAGTCATGTTATTTATCAGAAGGATAACTCTCTGACCCTTGCATCTCTTGGGCCGATTGCCTCCGAGCTGGATTTTCAGCTTTCGCAGTGGTACGAAGGGCTTCCCCAAGCTGTTCGATTCCCTCTTTCCTCTCACCAAACTTCGAACTCTATCCAGACCGTTCTGAGACTTCGGTACTTTGCATGTCGCACGATCATCTACCGTCCCTACATTCTGGCGGTACTTCAGCACGAACAAACATCCGCAGACCCAATGGTCAGAGAATGTTGTCGGCGGTGCTTAGATGCGACATTGAACCAGCTTGATCACATTAGTCGCCACCGTGAAGGCCATCTCCCCTACCTCTGGCAAGGTGCCCTCTCTATGGTTTCACAGACGTTGCTGATTATGGGGTCAACCATGTCTCCGGCGCTTTCAGTACTCCTACCTTCAGCGGCCCGAGTGAATGCAATTATCAGCGGTGTCATAGAGGAAGTTAGTGGATATGCGCACCTTGCTCCAAGCCTCAAGCTCTCGGCGGAGATTATACGTGACGCCGAGAAAAAACGGCAAATAAGCCTTAGGTCGGTGGCTAAGAAAATCTAGACACATGGTCTTTAAGGTTAGCATGGGTTCCAGGGCTAGTTGTAACAAGACTCCTATGCCAGCCCGGAGGCATGTTCTAGGCGAGAAGTGAACAGCAGGTGTGAGACCCTTCCTACGGTGCATTTGAAGATGCGATATAAGACGAAGCATGACGATTTGCTCTTTTTTGCGTTATATGTCAAGTTTGTGATGCCACAGATCAATCTATCACCCAACAAAGAGACTCCGATACAAGTTGAGAATAGTGACAGATACATGAAACAGGGTATTATCAGGCATTTTTGAAATCAGATCAAAACCCATTCACTGCCTCTTTTAATAAATTTATCAAGCATCAATCCGATATCATTGAGAGCGAAGCGACAGATGTAGAAACCAAAGAACTCTGCAGCATGGCGAGTGCTCAACTCAAGACCAACAAGAGTGGGAGACGAGTGCTTCAGACCAGGGTCTTCGACCTGCTGGGCGATTTGATCTAGACGTTCCGCAACTTAGTGTTCAAGCACAAGGCATGACCCCAAACAGTAACGAAGTTGACTCACCTAAAACCTGGACGGCATCACAAAGCCGGGCCAGAGCTCCCATGTAATTACTGGCTCCGTTAAGCTGTAGTTGTGAGATATTGCGCTTGGCGTGTTGAGAAACAGGCACTGAAGTCATCGGGACAGTATTACTAGTAGAGAGGTCCTTGCTTGAGTCTTTCGATGCGGATGCTGAGGACGCCACAGCAAAGCCGGAATTTTTAGAACGTAGTTTGCGCCACGATGTCAGATAGGACTTGCTGGGACCAGTCGACGGCTTGGCGATCAGGTTATCAACATTCGTTGCATCGTCATAGGACAGGTTAGACTTTAGGAATGCCATAGCTCCTTGAACGCCGACTTCATTTCCAACTTTCTTGGAAAGCAACATCTGCACCTGGTCAAGTACACTTTCCAGTGACTGCATTTCCTCTAGAACTGCGTCGGCATCATAAGTATCAACTTGGGCCAGTTTCAACAAGGCAGCCGTCAACAAATCGCAACTTGATACTTTTTCCTCAATAGCTTTGATTTTCACGTTTTTAACGCGCCAGACATCCCGTGGGACGAAAAGCTTCGTAGATAGGTAGCCACCACGTGGATGCGCCATAGTTTGATAGACGCAACGCATGAGCCAGAATGGCCGTAGAAGGAACGATTCAGGGCATGGCTCCAAGGGAAGTGGAGGATCAGTAGCCATCACATTTGGGGACCCGGGACTTGTTGGAGAATGGATGTTTGTGTCAAATAAATTAAGACCACCGCTTGGTGGGCCATTTATAGCAATGTTAATCCCGGTTGGTGTAGGCAGGATGGGTAAAGACGCAGTCATCGGCTCTTTCTGGGCTTCTGACACAAGAAAAGCATTATTCGATGGACTTTTAGGTGACTCAGAGGGCACTTCTGTCCCCGATGCTGATATTTTTCGCGTCCGGAAAGGGCCCAGCCCGGTATATATTTTGCCCAGACTGTCTGGCGCCGATGGCACTTTACCGATTGGTCGAGTCGGTGAAGGAAGCTTCGCATGCCAGGCGTTACCGCTGTCTTGGGTCTTTCCAGCAGTTGCATGTGCTAGCATGTCCTCAGTAAAAGAACCGACTGACACATTACGCCTTTTAGCTTGCATGATTGATCGTAAGCCAGAAGCTGAACCTGGGGCTTTGTGCGAGACATTACTGTTTCTCAGCAGTTGCTCATCCTTGGGAGCTGTTCCCTGAGGAGGGACAAATGAATCTGGCGGCTGTATCGATGCCATCTTCAAGCGAGTGTCGAAGTGGGGCTTTGTCTCGATTTTCAGCTCCGTAGTATGCTGGCCTGACAACCTTCGTGCTCGAACACTTGATCCTACCATGGAACCAGATGTCGGCTTGTTGATCGAAGCTACGAGGCTGTGTTCTGGCTGAGTGAAGGTGTTGGGCTCAACTCCTATGGCTTCGGGTGAGGCATGTGATTTCAAGTCCACAGGTCCATGGTTAGGAGCTAACCCGATGCTCTCTCGCGATCGATCGAGTTGGCTGCTTGAGACTGGCTGCCGAGGCAGGGCGGATTTAGACTGAACTCCGAATTCGAACTCATCCATGATATAGCCTCTCGTCATTTCCTCTAGTAAGCGCTCCTCTTCCTCTGCTTCATCATCCACATACCCCTTTGCAGGACCAGCCAAAATGTCAAGAGGTGCCTCGTTATAGGTTAGAAGAGGTTCTTGGATTTCGAGAATCTCCCCTTTTGCGGTTCCAGATTCTCCGACTTGATGATTCCCCAAGTCGACAGTTTCCCGAGGGCTTTGGGCCATACCACTGTTGTGGTCGTTTAGTCCAGTTGACGGCTGTAAGTCCTCATCATAGGCGGCTTCAACGGCTGCATCCAGGGCAGCATCAAATTCAGCTTCGGTACCATAGGTTGATTGATGACCTGTTCTGCGACGTAGGTAGAGAGATGACGAAGTGGAACGGATAGAAGCGGGCGAGGAAGCACCAGACTCGTCGATAGTATCAAGCCATGATGTTGTTTCGTGAACACCCTTACCTTGAGTACTCAACGGAGGCATCTCAGATAACGGCAGTTCAGCAGATTGTTGACCTAGACTAGCTTCTGGTGTAGGCTCGTTGTAAGTAATCAAGCCTCCAATGTGCTCGTCAGATCGCTGAGAAGCTGCGTGGGACATTTTTCCTCTTAGTTCCAATGCCTGATTTATCCAGTCATGGTCAGGAGCAGTAACTATTTTATCATCATCATCATCATCATCATCATCATCAATAATCGCAGATGGCAGAAGCAGAAGCTGCCGCGGGGAGAGTTGACCGGATGGCATCGTTTCTTTCATTTCAAGGATCAAATGCGCATCGGAACCATGCTGTGAGCGATTCAGGTCCCCCTCTTTGAATGATGTATGTCTGTTCTCCTGCGAAGGATATTCCACATAGGACTCTTCACTGCGGGGCCGCTCAGGGAGGGCTTTACTATCCATGTTTCGGATTGAAAAGTCCATACGTTGGAGCTCGTTTACACGAATCATATAGGTATCACGCTTTTCTTCAGCTCAGCCCGCAGTACTAATTTACGTATCTGCTGCAGGGGAACTCACTATTTCTTGAAGTTTTAGCTTCTCATCTTCGCCCCCATCGCTTCGGTCCATTACCAACTGAAGTAATTGACAAGCATCGTTGTACGCTTCCATCGCTCCTTCAAAATTCGCGGCGTTGTCAAGTAAGACGGCAGTGTTCGCTTTCTGCAGCGCTTTTGAAAGCATTGCTTTCTGGGACTGGCCACGTTTTCTTCGTTCATAGGCCTTGCCTTTCATAAGAGACAATTCTGAATCTGTATGAGCAGGCATGCCTAAGCCTTGAGTGCGAGGACTGTCTGATTCAGACATAAGGTGAGTGGAATGATCTTCTGGCTCCAGCCCTTCATTCTCGGCGTATTGACTGCGTCTCTCAGTCCACGGGTTCTGGAACAGACTAGGAAGAGGCTGAGTAGTTCGCGACACTTGTGCATCATTGTGCGGCGAGGTTGCATTTCTAGCGCCCGAGGCGAATGAAACCACCTCATTTGCAGTAAACGCCAGATGTTCATTGAGATCTTGATGTACAGATTCTCGGAGAGAAGGGGGTCCACCGGAAGCTTCGTGATCTGCAGGTGAGAATGGTATTCGTGAAGAATACGACCCCACTTTTCTGCTTGGACACATTTGATCGCCCAACAAATCGTTGTTTGTGAAGAACGCTTTATGCGAGTTTCTGCTAGATGTTGTCGACTGGGACCAGCGATTGAGACTCCCGAGTCCTTCGCGAATGTTATTCTCTCCGAGGTCGTTATCGGTTGCCATATCAATATCCGCTGTAGCCGTCATTGCTGCGGATGTTTTCGGACTGGGGTTGGACCTGCGATTTGTGGCATACAAGCCGTGCGAAAGCATTTGTTGCTGTATGAATTGAGAGGGTGTGAGCCTAGAGAATTAGGCATTAGTCCTGAATCATGCTCTGCTAGGAGGTTGAAGAACATGGTGCAACAGTGCTGGGCAACACTAGCAGTGACCCCTAGGATGGCAGCAGTACTTAAATGGATGTTCTCTTTAAATTTTCATATGTTCAAGCTTCAACAAGTACCTTTCGACTTTTCAAGTCAATGAAGGGTGGTTGCAAGGCTTGCTGAAACAAGCAAGTAGCGTTTTGTTTCATGTAAATGCAGATTTGTTGCAAAGAGTGGCACTGGTAGTGGTATGAGCGATTGGGAAATGATTCATGCTTTGAGATTACACAGGAAGCAACAAAGTTGTGAAGGGTGCGACCTCGTGGCCTGATTGGGAAAAGTAGAAAAAGCCGTTCTGGCTCACAGCTTGAGCTTCAACATGAGTAAAGCCCTTTGAGTAGGTGCACTGTTATTGAGATTTGCCGCAGACGACACTCCTGCCGGTGCATATGAGGCAAGCTAAACGCCAAGCGAGCAATTTCAGCACACCTGGTGGCAATGCGCTTGCGGTGTGCTAATCTAGTATGCAGATTGGCCAATCGACTTTGTGATTAGAGCAACAGGTTATTCCAGTGCTTGAATAATAAGAAACGGGACAAGGACGTGTGGTGTTGGTGTTATTTGATAGGCAATATAGCTCTCAGGGGCATTTGCGGAGATCCTTTGATAAGGCCCGCGGGTTACTGACACTGGACAGGGCAGACTCAGCAGGGGTTGCTAGCTCGAATGAAGTGGCGGGATTATGTGGGGCAGATATACGGAGTACTTATGTATGTACTACTCATACTACTGGTACATGTACAGTACATGTACTCGGTACTCAATACATGTGTGACTACTTTTCATGTGGAGCTCGAGATTTATTGTTTTTCTGTGGCCCAATGAACAACTCCAATCAACAACTTAGACTACCATGAGTACATACACGAGTACTCGCAGACGGAGAATACGACCTTACTGGTTCTGACAGACACTAAATTCCTGATTTTAGAACTAGAGGTGCCATAATGCAGCGATAACGTTTGCAGGCTCCTCTGCCGTTATCACGAGTCATACTATGTATAAAGGTCACAGCAAGTTGAATAGCAAAAAAGCCTAGTGATTTGAAGCCGAATACATGTTTCCCATACTATAGACCAGAAAACCATGGGCCCCCTTCCCCAAGCGAGCTTCTCGGGTTAACATAATGTATCGCGTTAGAGTACGAGCAGCATGATACAGGAAATGTGTACCATTACTCATCGGCAAACCTTCCGTAGCCTGGGTTATGCATAGGGCTGCCAGCACTGTACGACCGGCATGTTCGTCGATGGATGGGTAGTACTGATCAAATAAGAGAACAGTAATATTATCGCAGGCTTGATAGCATGTTTTGGTGGCCAAGTTCACCTAGGATCCTCTCGCTGGACGCGCCTACTTCATTCCTCTCCGCTCTCCTCGTCACTTGTAGCCTCAATATTCTTTCGCGGGTTAGCCAGGGCATTGACCTCTCCAATTGTGTCATCGTTTGCTGAAAATTGTGCATTTTCATTGTCATACGATGGTCGCGGGACTGATTCGCCATGGGCCTTGATTGCAAGTTCAATGTCGGGTAACAGAGTCACGAGTCTCGCATACTGTTCGATTGGCAAAGAAATTCCCTACTCAACGATTTAGACACATTCAACTCCATACATTCCAGAATTACCTTCTTTCCTGGAAGCTCATGACCATCCTTCTCGTAATATTCCCTGATGTTGACCATAGCTTTCCCTCGAAAATTCGAGACCGTTACACGACGGGATTTCGATAAGTCCCAGTAACTTTCACCACTCGTGTCTACCTTTGGCGGTGCAGTGAATTGTGTCTCATTCGGTAGCTCTGGGTTGTCTGGTTTCGCTCTCTTCGACTGGCGGTTTTCAGTGGTGTGTAAGTTGTCATTGTGACCTAGGGTGTGCTTCTTGGCCCGGGACGTCATGTCTGCCATAATGTACAGTAATTGTGGCAATGCGGGAGTGAAGACGACCAAGATGCTAATCCAGATATTATTAATGGAAACGTTTTCACATTTCCGGAAGTGTGAGAGTGGTACCAATTAGGTTATGCAAGTTGTACGCAGTATAAACCTTCCAAAGTATCTGGTGCTGGATGGGGCGGGTTAGATAGTCAACTTGGTTTAAACTGTTTATGTTGTTTGCATGTTTTTCAAACACACACCTGTGATTTCTTATAGCATATCAATTTGCTTTCAGCACTACATAACTCATAGTAGAAAGGTCACCTCAGTGGGCGGTAATCTATTCCTATCTCTTCGGTGAGGACATCTAAGGTCTGTTACAAGCTGTTCTAGTGAGAAGGAGTTCCGGTTATGTAGTATCTCAGACGCCAAAATGTTACCACTCTGCCTATGAAAAAGCCTAAGGAGTCGATGAGGGGATCATAAGAGATGTCTTTAATCTGAAAATTCCATCTCGGCATTCATGAGTATAATTAGGGTCTATACTGATGATTACATGAACCGGGCCTGAGTTGAAACGCCGACACATTCAGACATGAGGTTCCAAAGCCATGTCCAAGCGGTGGGACAAGAAGTAAGAATCTAGGTCAGCAAGACACAGTCAATACATCTATCGGAAGATGATTCTTATCCACTTCTGCTGATGTGTCGGGGTTAACATATTTCAGTATGTGTGTGGTGCCTATACAGCTAACAGATAATCGCCCTCAACAACTGTAGAAGTAGAGAAAACATAAATCCCTGTGCGATAACTCTGACCTGAAGACAATCAAAGAGCTTACCCAAAGCTTCTTTGCTAGCAGCTGTTCCCATGACACCGGTGAGGGCCTGCGGTAGCCCTTTTTCAACAAACAGCCTTCGCGCAGTCTCTTTCAAGCGCTCTTTCTCTGGCCCACTCATAGGTTCATGCCAGTCCGTAATCTCAGCTTCCGTGGGAAGAGCATTTTCACGAAGCTTCATAAGGTACGATCCGATTGCGTCATCAGAAACATGGGAATTGATAATAGACTCCTGAAACAGCTCGCGGATCGTCTCCAAGTTCGGGTTTCCTGGGCGCAACACGTAAGACTTGGCGGCATTGAGCAGCCTTCGGCGAATTTCCCAGACCGAGGACAATGTGTACAGTTCATTAATCACGGCAAAGATGAGTTCCAGGGCTGTCCGGGTTTCCTCCCGTGTAATACAGTTGCCATGGATTCTTCTCTCTCGTTCTGTGCGGCGGTCAACTTTATCACCAGATGCACCAAGCATCTTTGATGTTAAGGAGCACTCCCCAAAGCTTGAGGAATCGACTTCAGAACCCAATATATTGGAAGCCGGGCGTTTCGAATTATTGCTGTCAACTGCGGCTGCTTGAGACACGCCAGACGGTTTGGCTCCCGACGACCGGAGATTGTCTGAAGGCTTTGCATCTGCAGAAGGTTGTGACGGCATCGAATGATTTCTATTATCGGGTAGCATGGGTTGGGCCGAGTCACACGAAATTTCATTCGATTGAGTGACAATAGGGTGCTGGCCAACGACCGAAGAATCAGGATCAGAGCTGCTACATTCAGCGCCAGGAGCAAGCTCTTTGCCGCCTCCACTCCCGAATACCCCAGTCATGCCTTCAAAAACACGTCCCGACACTCCCTTAGGCGCGTTGGCGAACACACCGAGAACGCCTTTTCCCATTGCCTCGAGTGTATTTTGGACCGGAAGGGGAAGTCCCACCTTCCTTGACGCAGCGATTGAACCAGGACCCATGCTGCCATCTCTGTTAAGGAAACACTTCATTTTTTCACTTTCGGCGAGTGGTCCAATCTCAAGGGCACAACGAAGATACTGTTCTAGTCTTTTGGCTAGACCTAGTCTGGTCTGACCTTTCCACGAAGGTAGAGCTGGAAAAAGATTCATGAAATCATAAACTTTGTTCAATCTCGAGATCGTATTCAGGGTATTGTGAAGGGATTCGAAGTCAGCATACTTCCTGAACACCATCCAGCCGGTAGACCTTGTGAATTGCGGTTCTATTTGAAGCAAAAAGTCGCATGTTGGCTTAAATCGAAAGTGTTCACCACCTTCCGAATCCATACCAAGATCGATACTCAAATAGGCACGGTGAAATGTCATATGTAGGGATGATGCCTCTTCATCCAAGACTATATCGCCAGCAGGTGACGCTGATAGTTGTGGGAGAGCACGCGCTGACTTTTCGCAATTTCCACCTTCCACTGCTTCTAGTGTCATGTGATTTTTTGCATGTACAAGTGACAGTTGGCTGTGAAAATCTATACCGGGAAGGGGGCAACTCGTGCCTTCGTTGCTCGTCACAGAAGGAGCTCCCGCACGACCACGGTTTTGTGCGAGATTTGGAAACTCCCCCCTCTGCGGGGATTCAGCTGAACCGTGTTGCTCGAAGGATGCGGCATCTATATTTTCAGTTGTTGTCATTTGGCAAGTAGGGGAGTCAAAATCTCGCTGTGGACTAGCGTTATCTTTGCATGGCGTGAAATTGCAGTCAGACATTGTCATTCGACTGGTATCATCGAGGACTGTCAAGTCTTGATTTCTGGCTTTATCAACACCGACATTTATCGCGTGCATTATCTGGGATTCACCTTCTCCAAGAAGTTGTACGATCCAGGCATTAATGGTCTCTGGCTGTGAGAGAGCGGAGACGACCGAGTCGGACAACATACTGGAGAGTACATCGCGAAGAAAGTGTCTAATCAGGGCGCAATCGTGGACGTTCGGATCGAGGTATCCCGACAGAATATCTTCTGCTACCATGTTCAATTTTTTCCGCTGCTGTTCTTTTTGGAGTATATTTGCTAAATTGCTGACTGGATGCAGATCTAGATAGCGTGAGATGAATCGCTCGGGTGGTTCCGCAAATTCAGCAGCACTGAAGGCAGCAGACAACTCATTCAAAAACACAATCATGACGGAGCTAGAGTTAAGGAGAAGCTCCATGAAGGTGTCCGCGGGTCGTTTGCGGGAAATATGCAGCCCCAATCTTGTAACGAAGCCGACCAGCACATGTCGACAGGAAGATGTAAATGTCGATTCGGGTGGTAATATTAGCTGGGACCACTGGCTACATGACAGGTTTATACTGTGAGCTCGGTATAGGATTGAACAGATAATGACTTACTTCACATATTTATTCAGGATCTCATCTGTGATTGACCTTAAGGATGCAGCTGTCTTCGGTCCAAATGAAGAGAAATGAGGGTCAATTGTATGCATGCTCTCAGTCCGTCTCTCTCTCTCATCCGCCTGTTGATCACTGCTATGAGGTTTCCCATTTTCCCAATCGAGTAATCGGCTTGGAAATGCTTGTGACAGTTCGATCTTCTTTGATTGGTTCTTTCTCAATATTCCACCGGCTATTTCATGGGATGTATTCTCCCAGGAGGCATGCAAGGTAAACCCAGCAAGAGCTCCGATCAGGAGGAAGGCAAACTTTCCTAGAATAAAGGCAGCGGTGATAGTTGCACATGCAATAACACCTAGAAGTACTTCATTACTGGCCGATGCAAGGAAATTAAGAGCCACGTCGACAGTGCTTCTGGAGTTGAAGAGATCGTCGTTGTGAGCTGCGGATGTTCCATCATGATGAAGCAGGGTATGCTTGTTCTGAATGTTTTTATCTATAGGTAGGCGATGAAGAATATCGGTGTTGTCATCATCCATTGCTGTTACTCAATAGCAGCACAGGTTATAGGATTTAAGTATGAAACAGACCTGTACAGAACACATAATAAAATTCGGAGGTCAGTGCTATACTCTATAAATAAGGACATATGCTTACAAGTAACTGACTTACTCATCGCTTTGTCGGGTATGGGATAATGGATATTGACACCAGCAGTCTTTTAAATACAACTGGTATTAAGCCCCTGTAAGTAAGCAGTAGCTTCCCGAGCTTTCTAAGCCTTTTTTTTTAATAGTGCTATATGTAGAATATATTTTAAAAGAAGTTGGGATTAATATACTCCGGTTGACCATGGTGATTTTGTTAGTACAGTGGGGAGGTGTAGGGATTTGAATCCTTTGAATTCTGCTTGCTCTATATATGATTACTAATACTATATAACGTAATCGGCAAGCGAGTCGGCCACATAAACCCCATTAACCACCACCACGCCCATGAAAGTGCCTTTGTACAAATATCAATATATCTACTAAAAATACCTTAATCATTAAAAAACTTAGTAGAATAAAAGGACAGGCTTTTTTTTACAGTTAAAGCTGTTTAAAAAGGCCACATTTACTTAATTTATAAAACGATAAATACTTTTAATATTCTATCTTTAACTCTTTAGAATTATTTAAATAAAATTATCTACTTATACCATACAAAAATATTAATTTTTAAGATTTTGCCTTTAAAAATTAATAACTTAACCATTGCTTAATATTTTTAAAAAATTTTAAAGTTTTGAAAATCTAACTATTTATCGGATTTTAGTACTATTTTTAAATTTTTTTATATAAAAAACTATTTTTTAAATAAAAATACTTACGGCCTTTTAAAGATTCTTTTCAAATTTTCCAGATTTTTTTACTTTTATAATAGTTTTTAGTATAGTATAAGGGCTAAAGGGTGAAATAGTGTAGTAAACAAATGCCTTATTGCAATAGCTAAGGTAGTAGTATTATATCTTAAGATCTTATTACTATTTTATCTAACTTTATAAAACTTCTGCTGTTTTAGATAGTTTTATAATTATTTTATTTAGCTATTATATAACTAATATCTGAGGTCTTTTTTATATATTTTTTATAATTTTAATTATAAAAGTTGGAAGAGCTTATAAAACCCTTATAATTTTTTTATATATAGTAGTTTATTTATTTATAATAGTACTATTAAAATCTCTACTCTATAAACACCTTTTACAGAAGATTTTAATAGTAGATAAAATAGTCTTACTGTTTTTTATAAAAGATATAATATATAGGCCCTATCTGTAACTGCTTTATTTACTAAATTACTAAATATATAGTTTATTATCTACTAATTATTTTTATAAAATATTTTTTCTAAATTACTAAATATA